GCACTCACAGGATACCCTTCCATTCCAAAACACGGGATGAATGTTCAATCCTTCTCACTATGCCTCTGAAAGCCGTAAGAGAAATGATTTTCAAAAACACCAATAACCAAGGGTGCAGGAATGTTGGAGGCTTCCTAATGAATCACAGATTTCAGGGGTCAGTGCAGGCAAAGAATGGCTGCAGGATAAACATCTGCCTCACCTGAGTCTCCTGCTCATTGCTGGGGAAACCACCAAGAGCCAGGAAAACGCATCACTGGGCCAGCCAGCAGTGGCTGGAGGGGCCTTTCTGGTGGCTGCCCCTCTGGGCCTCAACCCCCGCCCCCCAGCAACCGGCCAGTTCTGCGCTGACAACAAAGCCCTTTCCTTGGGCCTCTGCCGTCTCCTTCCTAGCACTGCCTGCCCTCCCTGTCCTTTGTCCCAGACGGGTGGAACACAGGCGCTCCGGGCTGCAAAACAGGCTGCTGTCCTGGGCTCTCGGCAAGGTCAGCTGTGAACTCAACCTTGCGGCCAGCTGTTTGGAACATGCAGTGGGAAGGCTCCCGGGCTCTCTAGATTAAGTGTCAACCTGGCCAGGCTGATGTGTCCAGTTGCTGGGTGGGTCAAGCACTAGTCTAGATGCTGCCGTGAAGGGATCAAATGTGATTGATTTTAAATCAGTTGGCCTTATGTAAAGCAGATTACCCTCCAAAATGTGGGTAAGCCTCATCCAATCAGTTGAAGGCCTTAAGATCAAAAACTGGTTTTCAGAAGGAGAATTCCGCCTCCAGACTGTAACACAGATACCCTGCCAGAGTTTCCAGCCTGTTGCCTGACCTACGGATTTGGGACTTGCCAGCGTCCACCATCACATAAGCTAATTCCTTAAAATCAATCAATCTGTGTGTGTGTGTGTGTATGTATATAACTAATACACACACACACACACACACACACACACACACACACACACACGTAAAGCAACTGCCATCAAGTGGATTCCGACTCATGGCAACTTCATGTGTATCAGAGTAGAACTGTGCTCCACAAGGTTTTCAATGGCTGATTTTTTGGAAGTAGAAAGCCAGGCTTTTCTTCCAAGGTGCCTCTGGATGGACTCCAACATCCAACCTTTCGGTTAGCAGCCGAGCACATTAACCGACTGCACCACCCAGGGACTCCTTACCATTTATGTAAGGTTTAAAAATAGGGGAAACTTAATGGTTTGTTTGGGAAGGCATAAATGGGTGGCAAAACCAGACACATGCAAGGAAAGAAATGCTCCCCAGAGTCAGAAGGTGCCATCCTCTGAGGTGGGGAATAGGGTAGTAATCCAAGTGTAGATACTCTAAACTGGTGTTCATTTTACGATTTTTTATTAAACATCCACTTTTATGCAATTTCTGCATGTATATCCTATATCGTGACTTTAAAAAATAAATTAAAATAAAAAAAGGAGCCACTAAGTGGCCTCATTCCAAACCAAAAAACCCACTTTGTCCAGTTGATTCTGGCTCATAGTGACCCCATAGGGTTTCCAAGGCTATATAGATGGCTACTGAAGCAGACTGCCACATCTTTCTCTCACGCGGCCACTGGTGGTTTTGAACTGTCAACCTTACAGTTGGCAGTCGATCTCTTTAACCACTGCACCACCAGGGCTCCAAGTGGCCTTGTTAAGTTCATGTAATTTCTGATTCCTAACCCTTCTTCTCTAACTCTTAAACCATAAAACTGGCAGTACAAGTAAAGAGAACTTCCCAGGCTAATTAAGCCTTGTGTCTCCAGAGCAATTAAAACACTAGAGGTGCACTGGAAAGATCTCGATTACTCCACGTCAGATAAGAAGGAACTTCAACAACCTCTAGCTTGCTTTTATCTCCTACACTCAGGAAGGAATAAACAAAGGACTCCTCTCCTAGTCAACAAATATTTTCAAGCTCCTTCTACTGTTTCAGGCCCTGGTGGCACCGTGGTTAAGCGTTAGGCTGCTAACAAAAAAGATGGCGGTTCGTATCCACCAGTCGCTCCTTAGAAGCCCTATGGGGTAGTTCTACTCTGTCCTACAGGGTTGCTATGAGTTGGAATCGATTGACAGCAACGGGTTTTGGTTTCACAGAATTTGTTTATTTAAACCAAAGGCTGCTTATGGATCACCAGGTCCTCAGCTAAGGGCTAGGGTTTCTGCCCTCCTGGGAGTCCAGCCTTCTGTTCCCTCCTTTACATCCTCAGAGAGAAAAATTCACCACCAAGAGTCTGTGGCAGAAGATCTGTTTGGGGCTTCCCAACTAGATGCATCCGCAGTGTTGGGTCATGATAGAGGGTAACTTCATCACCTCCCAACACAAGCCCAAAGAAGGTCAACTTCCCCACCTCAGAATCAAAATCTGGATATTGGTTGCACACATACTGTCTAATGGAAGAAGAGAACTTTATCACTAAGGTTAACAAGGACAGAGGAGGAGAGGCATTGTAACCCCCCAGACGGTAAGTTCAAGTCTTAACTCCCAGTATCGGTGAATGTGACCTTATTTGACACTAGCATCTTTGCAGATGTAACTAACTAAGCTAAGGTGAGTTCATACTGGAGCAGAGCTGGCCCTAACCCAATAAAACTAGTGTTCCTCTAAAAAGAGGTGAATAGACACAGAGACAGAGAGTCACACAGGGAAGATAGTCATGTGAAGACAGAGGCAGACTGGCGTGATGTTGCTACATGCCAAGGAATGCCTGAGGCCCACCAGAAGCTGGACAGACAAGAGTAGATGCCCCAGAGTCTTCTGAGAGACCGTGGCCCCACTGACACCCTGAACTGGACTTCTAGCCTCCAGAACTGTGAGACACTAAATTTCTGTAGTTTTAAGCCACATAATATGTGGGGACTTGTAACTAATACAGGCATGTTAACAAGTCTCAAGGGGCAGTGTGGGGTAATGGGCAAAGCTTAGACTTTGTGTTCAAACCAATCTGCCTTCAAATCCCAGCTTGCCACAATGTTGGCATGACCTTGTAAAAATTCCAAAATGGAAGAACAAACTAGAATTTAAGATTCCTCATCTGTGGTAAATTCACATAATAGTTTGTGGGTTAACGAATTTAACTTTACCCAAAGAATTTGGTCTTTGTCTTTGGTTCCTGAGAGATAACCTCTAAACCCTTGGAATATCCCCCAGGAACGGAAGTGTCTCTGTTATCTAAGGGGGCTCCAGACCACATCTGAGGTTTTACGGTAATAAGGTGACTCAGGTGGGGGCTGGCTAGAACAGAAAGACCCACCACATAATATCAGGGGACTTCAGAGGAGGGGGACATGATTCAATAAATCACGCCTACATGGTGAGGCCTCCTATAAAGGTTCTGAACATGGAAGCTCCATGGGCTTCCTGGTTGGTGAAAAAGACATTGCTCCAAGTGGGACAGTGGCATGTCCTTTGGGACATGGATGCTCCGAGTTGGGAACCCTCCAAGAGTTGGCCCTATGCAACTCTTCATCTGTACACTTTTTGCTATAATAAAACAGTAATTGTAAGCATAGCTTTCCTGACTTCTGTGTTGTCCTAGTGAATTACTGAACCCAAGGAAGTAGTAGGAGCCAGCAGGTCAGAAGTGAGGGGGACTGGGGACCCCTGAGCTCACAGCTGATATCCCAAGATGGTAGAGGGAACTCCCAAATTTGTAGCCAGAAGGTCAGATGTGATGGAGACTCCCATGCTTATAGCTGGCATCCTGAGGGGGTAGTGGCAGAACCCGAAATATATAGCCAGTAGGTCAAAAGTGATAGGACTTCAAGAAGTGGGGACTCCAAGCTTGTGGCTGCTGTCTGAGGTCTTGGTCAGACTTGGCAGTCTGGAGGGCTGTGCCCTTTAATTGTGAGGTCTGACCCAGCTCTGGTGGTTAGTGTCAGAGGAAGACGTGCTGCACGTGCAGCTGATGTCACAACACATGTGCAACAGAAGGGAACAGAATGGATAATAAACTGATTTGAACTGATCAACATATTTGATGTCCGAGAAGTGGGGCCTTGATTTTTCCCACCTACAGTCCCTGCTCTTTACAGAGACACTGCCAACTTCAGGTGAGCAGCTACTGCAAAGCAACAACTGTAAAACCAAAAACCAAAACCCGTCGCTGTTGAGTTGATTCTGACTCATAATGACCCTACAGGACAGAGCAGAACTGCCCCATAGGGTTTCCAAGGACTGGCTGGTGGATTCGAACTGCTGACGTTTTGGTTAGCAGCTGAACGCTTAACCGCTGCACCACCAGGGCTCCAAGAATAACCAAACCAAACCTAAGGCCATTGAGTCGATTCTGACTCTTAGTGACCCTATATAACAAGAGTAGAGCTGCCCCATAGCGTTTCCAAGGAGCGGTTGGTGGATTCGAACTGCTGATAAAGACAGGTATAATTACAGTACAGGTTTTTCAAGAGCCCAACATTAACCCCCGAGTTTCCACCTCCTTCTTCTGTGACTCCATCCTTCCCTTTGGCCCTTGTCCCCAGCAGGAACAAGTACACATTCTAACTTGTGAAAGTGCTAACAATTAGGGAAATACAGAAAGACAGGAAGAGTCGAGAAGCAAAGGTCCTGGATCAAACAGCACACCGAGGGATCTGCAATCAATCATGGCTGCTGCAAAAGGTTCATGTGGTAGATTCTAACTCTGAGAGCAGACTTTTCCACTACCAGATAGGAGTGGGGCAGAGACAACAAAAACACGTCAAACTGGAACCCAGTTCTGTGTTCTCAATTTTTTAAATATATTCTTTGTTAAGAGGAGTGACAGAACCACATGGCAAGAAACATGATGTACAGCCAACACCCCACGATCTGGATTTTAATCTTCTACAGAGGAGAGCAGGTTATCCAATCTTCCATAGCTGCTGTTGTTTTCCTTACCGTCCTCAACTGTTCTTCAAATAAGAAGGCTCCAGAAGCTCTGAAGAGAACACAGCTCACCCTCACCACACTGAAAACTCCGTCTACTTCCCCATGTAGAGAATGTCCCACCATACTTACCATAATGGTGTGTTCTGGAAATCTGGCACGGACGAGTTTCACAAACTCCACAAAATGTTCCGAATACCCATTGGCCACATCCAGGCAAATAAACTTAACCTGCGGTACAGCTTCCAGGATGCTACTCATCTTTTCCAGATCATTCTGCCCGCTGCCCGAACTCACGGCTACATGCTGTGCCAAAATAAAGCAAGACGGACAGACATCAGTGGTGGTGTTCATAAGTCAGAACCTGCCTCCACCCATTCACTCATCTGGTGACAGTACCATGAACCTCTGAGGTTTACCCTGCTCACACATTCAGCAGACCTGCTCAAGGAACACACAACAGCAAGGCAGAGAGATCCGTTCATTAAACCATCTAAACGTTGATTCTGTTACATTCCCCACCATTAAACTGCATACACCCTATACTTGAACCTCAGTCACAGAGTCTTTCCTGTAAACATACTCTCCAATGTTCTGGAAACCTGGTCCTTGGTTCCCCCCCTCCATCCCAATGCATTCTGCTCTTCTGAAGCACACTTTATTATTAGTTTTCTGAAGCTTTTGGAAGGCCTCGTGAGAGAGGGGCTGGGAGTTCAACACAGATTATTTTTAATAACAGCATCCTAGAGGGAAATGGAAAGTGTTGTTTTATTGGCAAGCTGTTTTTGACATCTTTAAAGTAAACAGAGACTGCATTTTCAGCATTATTTAAGCGTCATCCTTCTCCCCTTTTTAAATCATCCCCCAAATGGTCTCCCTGGGCCCAAGACCATAAGGCAGAGTGCTCTTGATGTGTTTCTGTACATCCCACCTCCACATGGGAGAGGGGGACTCCACATGGGGGGGTTCATGTGGGAGGGCTCCACATGGGACAGGGGGCTCTGCACGGGAGCGGGGGGCTCTTCATGGGAGCGGGGGGCTCCCCATGGGAGGGGGTGTACCTGCAGCACCCCATGCTGGTCCTTGGCTATTATTTAATATCCTCAAACTCTCCGGGTGGAACTCTGAAATGGGGAGCTACCAGTGTGAATGTGTCACATCAACTAGATTGAAGGAAGATAGCGGAGGAAAGGTGGGAGGAGCTTCCTGGAGAAGAGAAGCAGGAAGAACGAGGCTTCTTCACACCGAAGCTGTGGTCTTCATTCACCCCAAGCGTCTCGTTTGGGGATGGGAGGAGGGAGAAGGAGACTTCTAAAACTCCTCTGAGAAAACACCTTGCTATTTCCCTTTTCGCTTCCAACAGAATACTGAATGACACACAGATCTGAATGTCTACAGAGAGCTCAGAGTCTCCGTTTTATCATTAAAGGGATAAAATTTCCCAACATGTAAGAACACACGAGCCTGAAATGATCTTAATCTGCACTGTACGCATTTTAGGTCTGAAACCAGCACACCCTCCTCAAGGATACCTCTCTCCCTAATCTCCACAGCGTCCAGGCTGGAACCCTGATCCTCTGCCTCCTCTGAAAAGCCACGCTTCCAGAAAGTATTGGGAGCCCTGGTGGCCCAATGGTTAATGCCACGGCTGCTAACCAAAGGCTGACAGTTCAAATCCACCAGGTGCTCCTTGGAAACTCTGTGGGGCAGTTCTCCTCTGTCCTATAGGGTCCCTATGGCCAGAACCAACTCGACGGCACCTAACAACGCAAAGGATTTGTTTTCAGTAACTCAGTCCTCCAGTGCTGCTCTAACAGAAATACCACAGTGGATGGCTTTAACGAAAAGAAATCTCTCTCTTCACAGTCAAATAGGCTAAAAGTCCAAATTCAGGGCATCAGCTCCAGGGGAAGGCTTTCTCTCTCTGTTGGTCTTCTCATCAATGCTCCCCCAGACTAGGAGCTTCTCCACACAAGGACCCTGGGTCCAAAGGACACGCTCTACTCCTGGCACTGCTTTCTTGGTGGTATGAGATCCCCCTGTCTCTCTGCTGACTCTGTCTTTTATATCTCAAGAGATTGCCTCAGGACACAATCCAATCTTATAGATTGAGTCCCGCCTCACTAACACAACTTGCCACCCATCCTCCCTCATTAACATCACAGAGGCAGGATTTACAACATATAGGAAAATCATACAGTACCAGGAATCATGGCTCAGCCAAACTGATACACACATTTTCTGGGGGACATAATTCAATCCATGACACATACCTTAGTGAAACCACACAATGGACTGTGCTTAGAGTCAGTAGCTCACTTTTCATGAGAATATTTATCTTTTAACTGTTATCTCTAAATCCTTAGCCACAGACGAAGAGCGTTCTTTTAATATCCTCTGTTATTCCTAAAACTCACAGCAGTGTAGCTACAAACACGATATAAGCATACTTCAATTTTCTCTACGTATTCCCTGCTCGTTATTCACAGCCTGACACAGGCAACCCAGTCCGGGCCTTCCTCCTCTCTCGTGAGGGCTTTCCTACCTTTTTTATTTTCCTGTTCGTGTCTGTTAAAGTTTGGCACGTGGCACTCCTGATTGGTTAGCTTCTCTCAGTCCTACGGAGTTTTCAAGATTTTCCCTTTTTAATCAGTCTCTCCTTTGGGATCTGCCTATTCTGGACATGTCACATAAATAGAATCAGGCATTTTAGATCACTTGGTTATGAAGGCTAAGGTTCCAATTAACACATTGCCAAAGTCTCCCTTAAAGAAGTCGAAGGTATAACAACAACCACCACCAAGTCATTGCTCCCCAAACTTCTCTAAGCTTCTGGGGAAGAGGGAAAGAAGGCGAAGATATCTAGAATTCACTTGAACATAATGTGGCGAAAAATGAAAGGCTTGCTAATGTCCCAGAATTGTTTTATCTCCAAAACCACCTTCTCATTGATCAAAATTCACATATAATTAAAGCATGGTAACAACAACGACGTCAAAAAAAGTGTAACCTCGAAAGCGGCATGATATGAAGTTGTTTTCCGATCAAACAGCCTGAGTATGGAAGAGGACGTCTCTAATGCAGGGAAACTTCTCTGCTGGCATCGGCTCAAAAACCACTGGAATATGCTGGGAGCCAAAGCAGGCATGTTGTATTGGGATTTGCTGTTGCTTTTAAACCTGTCGCATTCTTGTTTTGTTGTTTTAGTGACAGCTTCATTGAGATATAATTCACATACTAAGCAGTTCATCCACTGAAAGTGCAAGGCAGTGGTTTTCAGTATATCCGCAGAGTTGTGCATCCATCACCACAATCTATTTTAGGACATTTTCATCGCCCTAAAAAGAAATCCCGTGTCCTTTAGCAGTCACTCCCCACCTCATCCCCACGCTCCAACCCCAGGTATCCATGAGTCTACTTTCCGTCTCCACGGATTTGCCTATCTGGACGTTTCACATACATGGAATCAGACGATATGAGGCCTTCTGTGTCTGGCGTCTTTCACTCAGCAAAATGTTTTCAAGGTTCACCCATGTCAGAGCATGTATCAGTCCTTCATTCCTTTCTATGACTAAATAATAATCCATTGTATGAACATACCACATTTTATCTATCCGTTCATTGTTGATGGACACAGGTTGTTTCCACTTTGGGCTGCTGTGAATCCTGCTGCAGTGAACACTGGTGGACAAGTTTTTGCACGGACATACGTTTTCATTTTCTTGGGTGTATGCCTAGCAGTGGACTTGCTGAGTCAAATGGCAACTCTGTGTTTAATCTTTTGAGGAACTGCCAGACTGCAGACTATTGGCCAAAGCAGTTGCACAATTCTACAATCCCACCAACAGTGTATGAGGGTTCCAGTTTCTCCACATCCTCATCAACACTTGCTATTGTCTGTCCTTTTGATTACAACCACATCTTAGTGGGTGTATTGCTTTTTCAAGTAAAACAAAAAAACTTGTTATAACTAAATGTTTTTTCTGCAGCCAAAAGGCATGTTCAGACTGGATTCATCTTGAAATACCTGGCAGAAAACAGGTCTTCCCCCTAAACTCTCGTGATATAATACTTTGTCTTTCAAGGGAAAACACACACATTTCTTACAGGTAAATCCTAGTATTTTCATAATACTATACAGAATGGGTTTCTTCAGTTAATCCCCGGCAACGATGTAGGACTGGGGGACCAACTCTTCCTTCCCCCAGGTATCTCTTGGGACTCTGTGTTTATCTGCTGCCAATTCATATCCTTTTGACAACCCTGATGTTCCTCCTCCCTTTGCACCATTTACAATTTATAACCAGGCTGTAGTCCTACCTGCAGGCATTCTGGGTGCTTCGTGGCAAAGAGCTTCCAGTCATCCAGGGTGTAATGCTTATGAATGGCTGTAAACAGGCAGTGCTAGGAAACAAAACAACATCATTAGGGTGAAAAGCCAGGTGGGCCCTCTTCCCCTTGCCCATCTGGTGGTTGTGATCCAACAGTATAAAAGCATTGTGTGTTTCTGCCATTCACGCTTAATTTGCTTTGAATATGCTCCCAGCAGCCAAATACAGACAAAGGTGTACCCAGCGCAATCACAAAACCATGCCTGCAGTTCCAATCTGATTAGATGCTACTGCATTTGGGGCTTGGAGGCTCTGCCAGGAGGCAGGAAAGGATAAAGGAGAGGTCTCAGAGGTCTGCCCCATCCCACTCCAGCTCCTGAGTTAGGCCAAGAGAAGCACAGATGGTGATAAAAGGAAAAAACACAGCAGGTCCCCTGCCCATAAGAAAGGCTGCATTAGACAAAATTCTGCTTATCTAACCCCAAAGAACCTTAAAACCAAACCAAACCCATTGCCATCAAGTCGATTCCAACTCAGAGTGACCCTACAGGACAGGGTAGAACTGCCCCATAGGGTTTCCAAGCGCCTGGTGGATTCGAACTGCTGACCTTTTGGTTAGCAGCCGAGCCCTTACTTACACCTAAAGGCTTTTTCTTGTGTTCACTTGTGTTCACAACAGATCAAATTTGCCCAAAGAATTTGGTCTTTGTCCTTCATTCCGGTCCAGAGAGATAACCTCTAAAACCTTAGCATTTCTCCAGGGGCTAAAGTGTCTTTGATGAGGCCTTCATACCATACCTGAGGATTTATGCTAATAAGGTGACTCAGGCAGGGGCTGGCCAGGCTGGAAGGACAACCACCTGACACATGGACACAGATGCTCCAACGGCTTCCTGGTTGGTGAAAGATATCAATGCACGTGGAGGGTAGTGCATTCTTTGGGACATGAAAGCTCTGTGCTGGGAACACTCCCAGACCTCGCCCTGTGTGTCTCTTCATTTGTATCCATTTTGCTATAATACTGTAATCCTAAGTATAGCACCTTCCATGGGTTCTGCGAATCTTTCTAGAGAATTATCAAAAGTAAGGGAATAGTGGGAGCCAGCAGGTGAGATATGGGGGAGGGGAGACCTTGGGGATCCCTGAGTTTGCAACTGGAATCCTGAAGGGGTAGTGGGAAAACCTCAAATCTGTAGCCAGCAGGTTAGAAGTAAGGGTGTCATGGAGTCTCCAAGCTTGTGGCTGGCATCTGAGGTCTTGGGCAGATGTGGCGGTCTGGAGGGCTGTGCCCTTTAACTTGTGATCTCTGACCCAGCTCTGGGTGGCCAGGGTCAGACGAAGACATGCTGTGTGTGCAGCTGGTGTCAGAACAGAAGTGGAAACAGAAGTGAGAAATGAACTGATTCGATTGACCTTTACAGTTTAGTGTCAAGAGAACTGGGATTTGGTTTTATCCAAGTAACAACCTAAACATTTCTTGCTAAAAACTAAACCCACCCGGCAGTTGGTATTCTTGAGGGAGAGCGTTACATAAACTATAGTCCTAAATCTATGACTATCGACCCACCCAGCGTTCACTGAGTACCTACTTTGTGCAAGCACTTTGCGCATATTTTGTCAAATTCTCAGAACTGCTGTGTGTGGTATTACTAGCTCTGTTGGGCAGAAATGGAGCATAATGAAATTGGATGGCTTGGCTAGTAAGGGTGTCATGGACTGAATCATGTCCCTCCAAAAAATGTGTGTATCAGTTCGGCAGGCCACAGTCCTCAGTATTGTGTGTTTGTCCTCCATTTTGTGATTGCAATTTTATCTTAAAGAGGATTAGGGTGGGATTGTAACACTCTTACTAAGGTTGCATCCCTGATCCAATGTAAGGGGAGTTTCCCGGGGTGTGGCCCGCACCACCTTTTGCCTTACAAGAGATAAAAGGAAAGGGAAGCAAGCAGAGAGTGGGGGACCTCATACAACCAAGAAAGCAGTGCTGGGAACAGAGCGCATCCGTTGGACCCAGGGTCCCTGCGCAGAGAAGCTCCTAGTCCGAGGGAACATTGATGAGAAGGCCAACAGAGAGAGAAAGCCTTCCCCTGGAGCTGATGCCCTGAGTTTGGACTTTTAGCCTACTTTACTGTGAGGAAATAAACTTCTCTTTGTTAAAGCCACCCATTTGTGGTATTTCTGTTACAGTAGCACTACATGACTAAGACAAAGGGGTAACGGCCAGAATCAACCTCAGGGTTCAGGCTACTTGCCCTGGACAAGGTCCCCTAACTTCTCTGGATCTGCCGAAATCTTCATCTAAAATTTCCCATTCTAGAATTCTATGACTGGACTACCTACCACTAACTCTGAATCCTAGGAGTGGAAAACACCCAGCTCTCACACGTGGTTAGATTCGAACGCACACTGTCTCGTTGACAGGAAGTCTTGCCTGCGAAAATGAGAACATAGCAAGTTCCTGAGTCCCTAGGTGGTGCAAATGGTTAAGAACTCAGCTACTAACTGAAAGGTTGGAAGTTTGAGTCTACCCAGAGGCACCTCAGAAGAAAGGCCTGGCAATCTACTTCTGAAAAATCAGGCACAGAAAGCACTATGGAGCACAGTTCTACCCTAACACACGTGGGGCTCCTACAAGTTGGAGTTGACCCAACAGCAACTGCTTGGTTGATGATAATCTGATCTGTGAATTAACCAGGTTACTTACTGCTCCCGGAGTCCACCCACTTTGACACTAGTACATAACTCATTAGTAGCAATGGCTGATCACAGATCAGAGCTGGGGAAAGACGAGGAGAGAAAAAAAAAATCCAGTTCCTTTGCCAATTAATTTATTAGCCTCTGGCCCGAAGCTTGGTGGGGGCTGCAGCTGACAGACACTATAACTGCCCATGGAACCAGACAGACCACCCCCTAACTCCGTTTTTGAGCACATTGTTTGAAAATCTTTTCCTTCTAATCACTGGCAAATAATGAATCCCAGGGCCTCCTGTGGTTACACCTACTGCCCACACAGTGAGCAGCTCCTTCGTCTAATTGGATTTCTCTTCACTTGGCAGGCTCGATCAGCACGGAGATACACAGACCTGTGCATCACCGCAAATGCTGTGATGTGTAAGACGCTCTGCACCTCAGGCTCAGATGCCTGAGACCAGGTGCCACCCCCAAGGAGCGTTTCCTTTATTGTGCCCAAGGCCAGGATACTCGCAGTTTCCTCAACTGGAAACTAACGGGAGAACTGGGTAATAAGGACTGTTTTCCACCTCCAGCTTGTACTGTTATCTCTCAGGATACAGTGAGAAGCAAATCCCTTAGCTTCTGGAGTCAGGCAACTGGGGTTTGGATCTTGACTGTGCTCTACCTGGCTGAGCACCCTCGGGTAAGTCACCTCTCGTTTCCCTCTGAGCCTCGGTTTTCTCCTCTGTAAAAGAAACCTACCTCATGGAGTTGTGACAAGAACTAAGAGATAATTATATCCAGTGTTTGGCACATAAGTGTTCAACAAATGTTTTCTACACAATTATGTATGAGGGCATTGGAGGTAGAATTAGCGCCTTCCACGTGGAAGACTCGGGTTCAATTCCAGGCCAGTGCACCTCATACGCAGCCACCACCCATCTGCCAGTGGAGGCTTGCATGTTGCTCTGATGCTGAACAGGTTTCAGAAAAGCTTCCAGACTAAGGTGGACTAGCAGAAAAGGCCTGGCGATCTACTTCCCAAAATCAGCCAGTGAAAACTCTGTGGATCACAATGAACTGATCTGCTGCCGATCACAGGCGTGGATCACAGGCGCGGTGCAGGACCCGGCAGTGTTCCCTTCTGTTGTACGTGGGGTCACCATGAGTCAAGGGCAGCAGTAAACAATGGCGTAATAAATGCTACAGCCCAGACGGCATACAAAGCCGTTCTGACTCCCTTTTAAAGACACTGCCACGTTCTCTAACTTGGTACTTGTCATGGTGTCTATCTTATGTCTTGTCTGTTTCTAAAGCTACCACGGGCAGGTTCAAGGAAGAAATGGATGCGTATCTAGACCATCTCATTGACTGCAAAGTCCAGACACCATCCAATTTCTGACTTGGAAAAAGGGAAAACAGAATTATCTCCAGCAACGATCAGACCCAGAGCTGACTATTCCAGCCGTACCGAATGACCCAAAGCATCTCACTTTTCTGCCCTTCCCCGTGTCTGAACAAGTCCAGGTGGGCTCCTGACAGCCTGCCCTTACTGTGAGCAGCGGGGGTGGGGAGAAAGGTCAACCAGCTCACCTGTGACATCACCACTGCCATCTCAAACGTCCCTACGGTATCCATGTTGGCCACAATGATGGGAATCCCTGAGTAGGTCTGCCTCGAGTTGCGAAATGTGAAGGTACGCTCCAGATCAACCTAGCAGGAGAAGGTGTGAGAAAGTAAGTGCTCGCTCTTACGGGATACTCGCAGAGCTCTATTTCCAGAGTTTGGAACAAGAACACAGAGGAGGGGGATGACCCTTGCTCCCCGGATTCTCTGAGGCATTGGGCCAGGTGTCCCAAAGACAGGAGAGTCCTGAGGAAACCAGGGGATTGTATGCAGGTGCGAATGCCGGAGCCGGCTCCTTAGCACCCTCAAGGGTCTCAGCTAGCTTGTCAGTGCCGCTGTAACACAAACACCACAAGTGGGTCGCTCCACAGAACAGAAATTTCTTTTCCCACAGTTCTGGAGGCCAGAAGTCCAAACCAGGTCTCAGCCGTGCTGATTCCTTCCTCGTTGGTGGCCCCGGGCACTCCCTGGCTCCCTGGTTTGCAGCTGCCTTCATGTGGCACGTGTCTTCCCCCGTGTGTGTCTGTGTATTCTGCTCTTTATATAACTCAGAAGAGATTAGCTTTAGTATCCATGTACTCTGGAATGGAGCCCTGGTGGTGCAGTGGTTAAGAGCTCGGCTGCTAACCAAAAGGCTGGCAGTTTGAATCCACCAGGTGCTCCTTGGAAACCCTATGGGGGAGCTCTACTCTGTCCTATAGGGTCGCTATGAGTAGAAATCAACTCACTGCAAGGGGTTTACACTGGCACGGCCTCATCAGCATAACAAAAACCCCTACTTCCAAACAGGATCACATCCGTAGGTACCAAAACCCAAACCAAACCCACTGCCATTGAGTCGATTCTGACTCATAATGACCCTCCAGGATAGAAAAGAACTGCCCCATGAGGTTTCCAAGAAGGGGCTGGTGGATTTGAACTGCCGACCTTTTGGTTAGCAGCCATAGCTCTTAACCACTACGCCACCAGGATTTCCTCCATAGGTACAAGGGTCAGGAATTCAACACATATTTCAGGAGGACACAATTCAATCCATATGATGTCAGTACAGGGTACTGGATGTTCGGCCATTAAGCCAAGTCTCTGGATTGGAAGCTTTCTCTCCTTCTTCAATAGCCTTTGCTACCTCACTGCCAACCTTCTGTCTGTAACCTGGTTCATTCTAGCCCTAAAAACCCACATCCTTGTTATCTTTCCCCACTTCCAGGCACTGGAGGGAGCAGTCCCTTGTGGGAAAATCTGCTGCACTCTTCCCTGGCAGCCATGCCCTTCCCATTTCACAAGTCTAGTCAATTCTCATCTTCTGACTAGACGCAGACACTCCAAATCCACCCTGCAGTGAGCTCGAAACCACGCATCCCTCGGCCTTTCGACCTCCTCGGCGGCTGTATAACTATGAGCATCTTTCAAGCTCCTGGGGAGCAGTGCACTGCAGCCATATGTTCACACGCGTAAACACGTGTTCCTCCGACTTGCAAACAGCTGGACAGAGGGCGCTCTAAGTCTGCTTTACCTCCAGGCTCAGGGCATTTATGACTAACTCAGCTGTCAGGAATCCAGGACAGGAACTCGGCCAGGATGGGGGCCTCACCAAAAGCAGTGAGCTAGGGCCTGGCCCTCGCCAACAGGGTACAGCTGCTGCTGTGTGCCATCAAGTCCATTCCAACTCACAGAGACCCTACAGGACAGACAAGAACTGCCCCGTAGGGTTTCCTAGGCTGTTAGAGAGTCAAAATTACTTCCTTGACCCAGGCAGCTCTCTGTTTGCCCTCAGACCCACTCCTCGTCCTACCTCTGCTCTTGTCACAGGGAGTCTGACGCCCCCTTCCCACACCCCGCAGACCCTGTTTCCAAGGTTAGTTTCTGGCTGGGTTTGGCCAACGCGAGACAGCGGGTGGGAAACTGGAGGACAATGAGGGTGCTGAAATCCCAACACCTGCACCTTGTTGGTGGTGCAAGCAGTTTTCGATCATCTGCTAACATAAAGGTTGGTGGTTCGAATCCCACCGGTGGCACTGTGGAAGAAAGGCCGGTTAACTGCTTCTGTAAAGATCTGTTGTTGTTGTTAGGTGCTGTCTTGTCAATTTCAACTCACAGTGACCCCATGTGACAGAGCAGAACTGCCCCATAGGATTTTCTAGGCTGTAGTCTTTATGGGAGTAGATTACCAGGTCTTCTTCCCGAGGAGTCACTGGGTGGGTTCGAACCACCAACCTTTTTGTTAGCAGTCAAGTACTTAACAGGTGCACCACCAGGGCTCCTTCTGTAAAGAGGACAGCAAAGAAAGCCTTATGGAACAGTTCTACTCTGTAACACATAGGGATGCCATGAGTTGGAACTGACTTGACAGCAACGGGTTTGAGTTTTTCTTTTCTTTTTTTTTTGATACGTGTAAAATCAGAGTCCCTGGGTGATGCCAACAGTTAAGTGCTCAGTTGCTAACCAAAAGATCAGAGGTTCAACTGCACCCAGAGGTGCCTCAGAGGAAAGGCCTGGCAATGTACTTCTGAGAAATCAGCCTTTGAAAACCCTGTGGAGCACAGTTCTACTCTGACATACACGGGGTCACTGTGAGTTAGAATCCACTAGATGGCAAGCGGTTTGGGTTTTTTTTTTTTTTGGTTTGGTACCTGTAAATATTATGCTGTTTGGAAAGAGGGGTTTTCTTCTGATATGTAATGAAGCCATTCCAGAGTAAAGGGGATTCTAAACCTAATCACTTCTGAGTTATAAAAAGCGCAGTTAGACACAGACACACACACACCGAGGGAAGAGGGAAGCCGAGGACCGACAGGCACGCGTCTGCAAGGATTCCTAGCCGTTGCTGTCGAGTCGATTCCGACTCATAGCGACCCTACAGGACAGGGTAGAACTGCCCCACAGTTTCCAAGGAGCAGCTGCTGGATTCGAACTGCCAACCTTTTGGTTAGCAGCCAGGCTCTTAACCACTGTGCCAGCAGGGCTGCCAACAAGGATTGCTGGCAGCAACTAAAAGCTGAAATTGGAAAGGAAGGACCTCCTCCCCAGAGCCACATCCTGAATTCAGACTTCTAGCCTCCTCAACTGTGAGAAAATAAGTTTCTGTTCTTTAAAGCCACCCAACTGCTGTAGACGACCAAAGCAAAACCCCAATGCCGTTGAGTCACTTCCGATCCAGCAAACTAAGGCGACGGAGAAGGGAGAACTAGGTAGTTCCCTCTACCCCCTTGGCCTTGGGCAGCGTCTCCAGGAGCAGCTGTGTCTCCTCAGGGCTCCAGGCCCCTAACAGAGAGGCCTGCCTGTTCCTGGTTCCAGCTTCCCCAAGCGATCCCAGTCTGGTAAGGATCGAACTGTGTCCCCCCAAAATACGCACTGTAAATCCTAACCCCTATACCTGTGGTAATAATCCCATTTAGGAACGGGTTTTCTTCGTTATGTTAATGAGGAAGTATTAGCGCAGGGTGTGTCTTGAGTCAATCTCTTTTGAGATATAAAAGACCAGATTAAACAAGCAAGCACGCACAAAATGATTTAAAAAAACAAAACAAAACAGAAAACCAAACCCATGGCCCTCCAGTCAATTTTCAACTCATAGTGACCCTATAGGGCACCGGAGAACTGCCCCATAGGGTTGCCAAGGCTGTCATCTTTACGGAAGCAGACAGCTTTCTCCCGTGGAGGAGCTGGTAAATTCCAATCACCAAACTTTCAGTTAGCGGCCGAGCGCTTAATCACGACACCAGCCAGGGCTCCTCAGAGGGAAATATACACGCCACATAACCGCCAAGGAACCTAGGAATAAAACGGAAAAAGAGGCAGGACCCTCCCCCAAGGCAGACAGAGAGAGCGCCTTCCCCTAGAGCTGGTGCCCTGAATTTGGCTTCTAGCCTCCTAAACTGTGAGAAAATAAACGGGTTTGGCAAAGCCACCCACGTGGTACTTGTGTTACAGCAGCACCAGATGACTAAGACATAGGCCTCAGGCTTCAGTAATAAGGCACTCTCCCCTTCACCCTCCACCCTGGGTAGGGAGTGGCTTCTATCTGTCGCCAATCTCTGGGCTGCCTCACTAGCCCCGTTGGTATGTCATCCAGGTCAGGATTCCCGCATTAAATTCTGATTTAAATACTCAGCACCATCTGTCTCCTTGGCTGACTGACGGCTACAGACCACACTGTAAATGGGTGCCTCCCCAAGGGTGAGCACTCTGAATCTTATGCCTTGGAAGTAAGGTGGATTTACATTAACCCTGGAGTCCCTGGTGGTACAAATGGTTAATGCACTCAGCTGCTAACTGAGAGGCTGGAGGTTCAGGTCCACCCAGAGGTGCCTCAGAAGAAAGTCCTGGTGATCTCCCTCCAAAAACTCCACCATTGAAAACCCTATGGAGCACAGTTCTACTCTGATACACACGGGATTGCCATGAGTCAGAATCGACTCCACGGCAGCTGGTTATTTGCAAAGTCATCTTGGCTTCACGAGTACACGGGCAATACCCATTTGCTCCCGGTGTTTATCGAGATCCTTCCTGTTTTCTCCTTCACCTCAGACAACTTCCACTTTGCAATTAGCATCATGTCACGAAACACCACAGGACATCTCTGATCTCTTAGCCTTTTTACTTCTCTTGCTTCTCTGCACGGTGTTCCATGTCCCGGAGGCTTGCTGGGTGACTTGTCATAAATACAATGACACTGGCCTTCAACAAGGAGCCTTGGTGGTGCAGCGGTTAAGCACTTGGCTGCTAACCAAATGGTCGGCAGTTTGATCCCACCAGCGACTCCAAGGAAGAAAGATGTGGCAGTCTGTTTCCGTAAAGATGACAGCCTTGGAAACCCTATGGGGCAGTTCTACTCTGTCACATGAGGTCACTACGAGTCGAAATCGACTCGACATCACCAAACAACAGTAACAAATTTTTACAGAAGGAGTTTGTCAGGACTTTCTTCTCTAGTTCTACCGTGAGGCAGTTCTACTCTGCCCTCTAGGGTCGCAATGAGTCAGAAACAACTTGATGGCAATGAGTTTGATTTGGTTAGCTTTGGGCCTTAAACAGCAATCAGTGAGGGGAAATGAGAGGCAGTAATTGTCCGAACATATGTTGGCAGCTCATCCTTTCTCCACTTCCTTCATTATGATTCTTGGTTCCGCTTCAGTGAAGCAAGTTCTATCTATATTCTGAAGGATGACTGCTGAAGGGTCTATTAGCTGCAACCTTCTGTGCCACTAACGGCCTCTAACATTTTGGCTTCACACAGGCTTAAAATAATCAGAATCCGC